ACTTCCAGGAATCCCTTCAATTAGTCTACTGGAATCTTTTCCAACCAATCCTAGGGCTCCAACTACAACAGGGATTTTTGATGTTCCCATATGCCACATTTTTGAGAATTCTATTTGAAGGTCCTTGTATTTTGACAGCTTTTGAATATCTTCAAAGATACATTGCAGTCTGCAGCGACTGCCATATCAATAAAGAGGCACTTTTTTGTTTGTGGTCTTTAATAACAATGTCTGGGCTTTGATTGTTCTGTCAGTGTGTATTGTGTAGACCCATAGAATTGTAACAGGTCCTATCTCCGTAACCGGGTCTGGGTGGTGTTCATACCAGTTTCTTTCAGTTTCCTTCCCGTAGAAGATGCAAATTTTCCAGTACAGATATTGACCAACACTGTCATGTCGGATTTTAAACTCAGTGGGTGCCAATATCGTGCAAGCTGATACAAGATGATCAATTATTTCTGGATATTTATCACAGAATCTACATTTTGAGCTAACACAATATTATAGTATATGTGCTTGATAATTCCTAGTTAACAAGCATTAGTCCTGTGCAGCAATTATTATTATTATTATTATTATTATTATTATTATTATTATTATTATTATTTACACAAGTCTCAAATGATTTTAAGAAATAAAAACATAATAGGGTAAAATACAACGAACATAAATTATTACCCCTACTGCTAGTCTGATATATACTGATCACACGATAAAATCAGATATAATATTAAAAGATTTAAAGAAATATAAGTGCTATATCATAGAAATATCCATTCTCTCGGTTAAGAACGTCTTACCAAAAGGATCTGATCAACTATTAAAATATAAGGACCTGGAAATAGAAATTGCAAGAATATGGCATTTACACACAACTACTGTTCCAGTAATAAGAGGAGCACAAGGAGGGGTTAAAAAGAAGACTTCTTCACAGATTAAGAAAATCCCAGAAACTTACTATTCTAAGATTGTTCTCACATACTCAGATAAACTATCTGAATGTAAATATACTCAATAACTTTATATGAAAACAATTCCTTTACTTTAAGTGCCAAGGTAAAAGATTGTATGAAACAGAAAATTCAGATATAATGATAATAATATCCGAAATGACGATCTTTGTAGCACAAGAATAGACTTTAAAAACAAATTCCATCAACCATTGATGAAACAACTGAATCACGCTTTTGCTGGTTATGTGTGAAAACTACTGAAAATGTGAAACATATTGTAAATGGTTGCACTCAACTGGCACAGAAATCGTATAGACAACACCATAACAAAATGATCCTCAGAATATACTGGGAATTATGACTTTGATTAAGAAGAAAATGGTTACGAGCATTAATGGCCGTTTGTAGCCGAGAATTAACAAGTAAAGCTCACGTGGGATACGACCAGTTTGACTGACAAGCGATTGGAGAGCAATCGCCCTGACACTTGTGCCAAAGAGCAGCCATGACTATATTGCTACTTTGGGATAAGAACACCGTGCAGGTGGAGTAGTCAAAAATATAGACATACCAAAACATGACAAGGTAAATCATAGAAATATACGAAACAGTAACTGAATTTGTCACTTCTATGCCGGCGCACTCGAAAGTAACTTCAAGAATCTGTCTGCCTAGGAGATACTTGACACTATTGGGAGTGCGCAGTGACTGCATTGCTTGGGGCAACTCATGTGCTGAAGAGAGTGTTGTGTCTGTCGGCTGCAGGAAGGATTCGAGATATGCTCATCATCACCCGGTCGAAATTTCAAGGTCAGAAATGTCCTCAAATCAATAATAATAACAATAATAATAAATTAATGCTTCGATTAAATAAATCAATCACGTTCCTCAAAAATCTTTAAGAGTTGCCTTTATTACGTCTAGAACTGAAATCTAAAATGGCACGATGATCATCGCATTCAAGCTTCTGTTGACGACAAGATTTTAAAAAAATCAATGTGCATTGTAGATTTTCATTTTATTCCTTCTAGATGAAATAAAAACAGATGGAAATGATTGTTAAGTCTATTATGAAAGTATCGAACTATTTAACATTAACAGAATCCTTACCAAGTGTAATGACGTACTTAATCTCCATTTTTCATTCATTTTATTCTGGCATCATTTTTATTTTTCCAAAACAACACCCTCTGCCAAATCCTTTTTGGGGATCGGCTTCAGATGTTTCGTCGAGCTCTCCATAATCTCGTCGATAGCGATTCAGCAGCGATTTTAGGGGAAAACTTGGAACTCGCAGCGAACAAATCAAAGACCAGATAAATGCAAAGATTTTCCAACATTTTCCAACATAAAAAGCTTCTCGAATCGTGAAGAATCCACTCGTTTTGTCATTGTGAATGGCACGCCCACAGTGTCCACAAGCAAACTCGGTGGTGGATCATTTGCTAAGTGAATAAGTTCCACGAGAAAAAAAAAAGTCTTTCTTCAGTTTCAGACATACGCATTAAGTTGTTATCTAACTGACTGCAATATTACATCAACCAAGTCTCGAGATATTCAAAATGACTATATACGCTCCGGACATACCTCATATATATATATATATATATATATATATATATATATATATATATATATATATATATATATATATTGTTAAATATGACAGAAAAAGGGAAATGTAATTAATTTTTATTTACTTTTTTCCCGCGTTCTTACGTTTTTTTCGTTTGGTCACAGTAAGTGAGTTACAAAATTTTACATAATATCTATTGTCCCAAGCGTTTTCCTACCATATTTAACGAAATATGTTTAAAAGAAAGGTTGCTGTCAAAATATGTATTGATATATATATATATATATATATATATATATATATATATATATATATATATATATATATATATAGTGATGTTTGTGTGCGTGTGTTTGTGTGTTGAATACAAAATATTCCTACCAATGTCCTACCGATGCGCGTGTCAAAATATATTATCGGGACAAAGAATAGAATTGAATAATACTTGTATATTGAGGGGTACAAAACGACTCTCTACTTGCCTGATTAAGCTACCAAGTAGAGAATTGTTTTATTTAAAGGTCAAATGTCAGTGTCTAAATTGATATTCTTCTCATTCATAGCCTAAGTTAATCCAATGTATTTTAAATGTATCCCAAATTTTGCAAGTGCCACAGACCCGAGTAATTCAAAATGTAACAAAATTGAGTGTCGACAGTCTGTTTCATGCTAGACTGTGATATTTATTACACATGGCCTAATGATTACATTCGAGCATCTAACAGACTGTCGCTACTCGTTGTTGACCACAGTGTCCACTTTAATGTATATAAACCAGATTATTTGAAATGTATCCCTAATGCTAGCACGTATCAATTTAAAAGTTGACAAGACCGTGAAAAATATGGGAGGTAAATTGACCTTTGCATCTTAGTTTTCGTGTATGTCTGTTAATTGTCAAATTGCTAAGCGGGATTTAAATATTTGATGATCACATGTCCGATTGTCGAATATTGCATATGCGCAGAATTTCTAAGAAATAGTTTATCGAAAGTTTAGGCAGATAAGTGCATCTTTTTGTCGTAATAAACTATATACGAAACAATGATATCATTCTTCTTGCAATTTGCTGGTAATCCTGACCTTAATCTCTTCTGTTTAAAAACAAGCGCCATTGAAATATATTCCATCAATGATAGACAGAGTAAGAAAAAAATTTGCTTTAGTTTGTTTTGCTTCTACTTTTGGGGGTTTGATGCGATCCAGACGGGATGCTACCGAAAAGATCGTAGAATTAATGGTGTATATCGGCTTCCTCAAAGAAAGAATTGATACAAAATTCAGGAAATCTGTGAAACACTCAGCGAGAAACTCGAAATGCTACAAAACCTACGTAAAAAGATTGATCAATTTTTTCTTATCATTTCCTAAAAGAAGAATTCTATATGAATATATGCCACTGTTTTATATATTTGTGAGGAATTTCCTTTGTATAAATGGCATTGCTCTATCTTATATTCTTGTGTTTAAGGTGAGGGTCTTTAAACTATTATTTTTCATGACTAGTTTTCTTTCATTTTATTATTGTTTCTAAAAATCATATTTCCAATCACAAATGCCATAACCCATTGGTCTTAGGGACCCCCACCCCACCCGACATATATATGCAACAGCCATAGCAGCAGTGGGTGTGACAGAACTCGTGCCTCGTTAGGCTCGTTTTGAAATCAGAGTTGTCTTTTTTGAGACCTATTGACATAACACGGCTAAATAGCATCGCTATCAAACCGTAGTGAAAGGAAAAATAGATTCATGCCCTTCCAAGGGCAGTAGTAAACTGAACAAAACAGATCTGCCAGAAATTGAACTCGGAGAAAATAAAACTAGTCAGAAAATAACTTTAATGCGTTTTCTATAATTTAGAAAAGCCTGCATAGAATGACAAGTTGTAGAAATTGTCATTATAGAAATTTGCCTAAATGTTTCACGCTCGTTCTTGTAGTGACAATATACACTTATGCATATAATTAATGTATATTCTATTCGTTTTATAGTCATACATATGTGTGTGCCCTGTTCATATATATATATATATATATATATATATATATATATATATATATATATATATATGTATGCGTGTTTGTATATGCGTGTTTGTATATGTACACACACACACACACACACACATATATATATATATATATATATATATATATATATATATACTTTGCGTGTATGTGCTCAAATATATAAGTATGTGCCTGTGTTCATATATATATATATATACATATATATATTTATTTGTAATTTTGTGTGTGTGTGTGTGTTTGTGTAAATAGTCATCCACAGACAACCTAAATCAGTGGGTAATGGAATGACAAAATAGATGCAAGCACCGAAGTAGCATGTTTAGTCAAGTTTTAACTGGTAATTACAAAAAGCCGTTTTGAGTTTGAAGAAACTCATCCTGCTAGTAAGGAGTTTTTCAGTTTTTTCATTCGATTACAAATATATATATATCTATATACAGATATAGATAGATAGATAGATAGATAGATAGATAGATAGATAGATAGATAGATAGATAGATAGATTAACGCAAACGTACTGGACACATAGACATATTAAGAAAATATATTTTATTATTGATATTAATCTAGAATTTGAGCTGAATATGGTAAACTCTTTGGAAGTAGAAATAAAATTTTGTTTGCTTACAAATAATTCTATTAATACATACAAGAGAATGTAATGTGATAATCTTTTGGGGTCATATGAATAAACAAAGTTCACTATTTACTGTCGCATCTGTTATTTCAAATGATGACTGTTTCAAAGAATTTCTATGCCTCTTGCAAAAATGAACACCAGTTTATCTAAGTCCTCTTGATAAATTGCCTTAAGCTCATTCAAATTATAGAGATTCCTCAGATGAAGTAAAAGTTTATTCCACAGATCTGTAAGGTTTAGGTCAGGCTGGTGACGAGGCCACTTTGAAAGTCTTTTTTCTTTTTAATTCCAGTATGTTTATGATCGTTATAATGTTGAATGATCCGAATTCACCCTAGTTTGAGAAAATTTCAATGAAGGAATCACGTTCTTCTCTGGTATTTAACGATAGACATCATTATACAATATTCCTTGTGTCGCGTTTCGCGTTGCCTCCAGCTTCAATTCTTCGGACCACAATGCTTTACTATGGACATCAACTGAAGACAATTTTATTTTTTTCTCTCATCTCGTTTATTATATGAAGTATAGTAGTTGTAGGATTGTTTCTTGGAAGAAGAAGGAATGAAATGATCGGGAAAGTGCATGCCGACTCTTGGCCAGGATTCCATTGCTACGCTCTGGTTTGACTCACTGTGTGCGGGAAGAGCATGCTTACACTTGGCGGCCAGCTTCCTGTCTTCCGACATTTTAATCTTATACCCCAAAAAATAAAAAATGGCAAATTATCATTGTCAGAATTCCATGCAGACTGTGCTCTCTTATAAGTAGTTAACCATTCCGACCCCAATCTATACATTCTGTAAGACTTATATCTGTCATATGTGCCACTGGAGGAAAAACAGCATCAAATCATTATACTTCCACCCCCATTTTAAATTTCGGAATTAGTTTTGATTGTCATATGAAGCATTTTCCTTTCATTAGACTTTTCTACCCAAGAATTTGATTTGAGTCTTGAAAAAAGATAAAATTTCAAAACGAAACAGTCTTCACGCGGTGATGATGGTCAAACTGTTAGTGAGGCTGAATGCGTCTCTGCTACATCATCAACACTTTCGTACCAGCTGCCTACAGATCATGTTCTGAAATTCTCTTCGGGATGTGAATGGTTTTGTATATTATTCTCGGCCAAATGCATTTTAGCTGGTCGTTAATTCATTCAAATCATGAAGACGTTCTTCTCGAACCAAAATTGGTGGTAAAGACCTTTAATTCCATTTACGAATGATGACTATAATCATACTGATGGAAATGCTAAATTCTTTTAATATACGATTCCATGATTATGTTGGCCAATTATTCTTAAAAAAAAAATAAGCTCTTTTATCTTCGCCATTGTGAAAACCTTTGACAGACAGACTTAAAATGATCAAAGTACGCATCAATGTTCTTCGACGGTCATGTCTTGGGTTAATTCGTGGACGGAATTTTATAAAAAATGTCCAAAATAACTGTGCCTGACTTTTTGTTTTATTCATCAATATGGAGTCAAATATTTCTTTACTTCTTAATATATTTTATATATTCAGCTCAAAGTTCAGTTTAGTCATAACGATAGAACTATAATTTTCTAAGTGTCTTTAATACTATGTGTCAAATATTTTTTACATGTAACAATATATGCTTGTATGTATGTTACTTATCGTAACTGTTTTAGGCATATATATATATATATATATATATATATATATATATATATATATATATATATATATATGTGTGGGGGGTTAATTTTTCTTGTGTTCATACAAGTGTTTTCTTTTCTGGACACAAAGTGTGTAAAAACTGTCTAAAATTTTTGTATGTCTGACCGAGAGGTCACGGCTACATTTTAAAAGAAAATGTAAAAAAAAAGGATAAAAAATAAGGAAAGCCCTAATAATGAAAAAGAAAAAAAGCCAACACTCAATAACATTAACTATGAACACGGTCACAATGTGCTGACCGTGTTTGGAAAATAAAACGTCCCTATAACATACATTCTGTTAAAAATCAAAATAAAAACATCCTTGATAATGGCTAAAGTTATAGCCGAAAGGGCTCAGTTTTCGGACACCGCTTTCAGCTTTCGGACAGTTTTTATAAACTTTGTGTCCAGAAAAGCAAACACTTCTACAAACACAAGAAAAAATTAATACAAAGTTTAATCGCAATACCTTGTCTATTGTCTTTAGGGAAACGCATATAAAAGAGGGATTGCTGCCTAAATACAATAATATATATATATATATATATATATATATATATATATATATATATATATATATATATATATATATATATATATAAAAAAAAATACAGAAAAACAAATTCTGAATAATTATAATGTTAAAATAGTTGGGCTCTACGTCCATCGTTTTTTTCTGTTAAATTGTTATCTTATAATGTTAATTATTTTAAATTTAAACATCCATGAAGATTATCTTAAACAAAACTTTAACGTCTGACGTCGACTTTATTTTAACATTAATAATGCATATTCAGAATTTTGTTTTTTCTGTATTTTTCTTTCATACTGTCGGATTTATATTATATATATATATATATATATATATATATATATATATATATATATATAAATATATAAAACTAAAGAGCCAGGTAAACCAACATAGGTTTCATCTACACGGATCGTCAGGTAAACTGGCCAGTTTACCCAACGATCCGTATAGGTGAAACCGAGGTAGGTTTACCTTGTTCTTTAGGTTCATAATTAGGTTTCCTCTACTTAGCGTAGTTACTTTTGCTTTACTCGTTTAAAGTTTTTGACATAAGTATACTTTTGAAGTATCAGGCATTAGATCAGAATTTAGATACAGACACTAATTTTCATAAACATATAAAATTACATGCCACATCATATACACGAACAAATATATATCCTACTTTATATATGTATCCTTATATCTGTATAATAAAAATATAATTTTAGGGTATGCTATATTTATGGGTAAAATTTCTCAGTATCATAGATAGAGCGTATGTAAGTATAAAAATCGACACTGAGGTCAAAACCAAGAGTTGACAATCTCTTTCATGTGTGAACGCAATCTTCAAAACTGTCTCCGCTCAGAGTTGACCCCAATATATATATATATATATATATATATATATATATATATTGTATGAATGTTTATGCATGTACGATCGCGATATTTATACTTGTGCATATTGTCAGTCCATTACACATCAAATGTTTCTTTTCATATATATCTGTACTTATGTATGCACACTTATATTCATGAACTATATATATATATATATATATATATATATATATATATATATATATATATATATATATATATGTCATTAACAGAAATATATGGAGATGTATTACTTCTTTGATAATTGGTAGTGTAAAAGACCTTTTCATATATACTTTCGTCTTTTAATGTCGTTAAACAAGTGCCAACTAGTCTCAAGTTTGATGTTTTAACCTCAGATCTAGCAATCAGCTGATTCAATTTTTCAACCTTTCGAACAAGGACACTAGAAAGTTTTAAAATTTATTCTGACATTAATTCTACATTTTTCAAGAATACAAAATATAATCTGCTTTTTATTAGTTAAATTTGTAACATGTCTTTTCTACACATATACACACACGTACACAGAACTTCAATGTGTGTGGCATGTAAAGCAATGCAATGTTATTTAGATTTACCCACGCACACATACACACACTCACCCCTACACAGACGCACAGACGCACACACACTTATATATATATATATATATATATATGGGGAAAATGTATGGTAAGGTTTCTTGTGGCGCGCTTATTTTTAGGAGTTTATATGAAGTCCTAAAGTACGAAAGGTATCGAAAGAAAACTTTTTCCACTTTACCATTCATTTTTCCTTAGTATTGTTCCTGATATATTACAAATATATATCTTTATCTAATATATATATATATATATCCATTAAAAAATCGAGCAGAGAAGTATAAATACTGCAAATGTAATATGTGTGGTATATATTTATTTTATATAAATATAGGAGATGTATACAAATCAGCATACAACATGCACACACACACACACATATATGTGTGTGTGTGTGTGTGTGTGTGTGTGTGTGTGTGTGTGTGTGTGTGTGTGTGTGCGCGTGTGATGAATTAGGATTTCCTTCTAGTTGCAATCATCCTTTTTTTTTTTCATCTTCGGTCAGCCATCCGAATGCTAACGTTAAGACTTTAACAATTTGCAAACCCGCCAGGTCAAAGGTCAGATAAATTTGCGTTCGAAAAATAAATTTGGAATGACAAATGTACGCCAAATTTGTGTACATCCATCCATATTAGGTTGATGGAAAAGTTTCCAGAATGTTTGATAAAAATGCTTATTAATGAAAACTTCATAGAATTCGGCGGAATATTTTAGATATATTTTTGTGCTTTTACGCCTCTTTCCAACTGAATTCTGTTTTCCATTAAATTTCGCTTCTTATACCGATGAAGTCTTCGATGATTCTTTTAATATAAGTTTGGGAAACCCTGACCAGCCAAAACTATTTGCATGAAGCAAAACCCATGGGTATGCTGCATTAGAAAGAACTTCTCATTTCACCTTTTTTATTGGATATGGCACTGTATTTGTAACGAGTGTCGTTATGCAGCAAAATGGCTGGTCTACTTCCTTACTCAGAAAAAGTAACTTTCTCTTTCCAGACGTCATTTAAACGAACCAATTTCTCATTGCAGCATTTTGCAGTATCAGTGATTTCAGATTTCTGAAATTCGTCGTGAGGAATTTCTTTTTAATCCAATTAAACATTCTGTATTTTTTTCTCAGTAGACTTCCCCTTTGATATTTTGAAGGCTGTGCATTTTACTAGCAATTTTCATTGTTTTTAAATCATACGTGATCC